TTCTAATCACGATACATAAACATGCAAATTTTTATTAAGTTCTTTCTATAGCCCAGACCATATAGGCTATGTACTTATGAATAAATCATTAACCACATAAAAGTCTGCAGAAGTCTTCAGCCTTCCCGTACGCCGTGCTAGAGCCCCTCAAACCTCCTCCCTTGCTTCTGGCAAAGGGAAGTATATCCAAGAGGATAAAAGGGGATGACAAGTCCGGATGGATGCTCGAGGCTGCTAAGGGTAATGAATCTTGTGTTTCTACAGAATGCAGCTAATTCTATCACTATGTGCAGGACCCTGTTGCAGCAGAGCGATAAATATTTTAAACGCAGCAGCTGATGGAATATGTAAATAAGCCACGTTACTGTAAACGCTGGCGGGGGCAGTGGTGGCCCCACAGCACCATTTCCTTCCAAAGCCTGGCCACTGCCGAACCACGCTGCTTGCTAACACGGCTTCACCTCTCATGTATTTTTTAGAAGGACAAGTGCTGAGGTACTGACTGTTGGATTCATTAAAACCCGTCCGGTTTTGCACAGTATGACAAACTAATCCAACGGAGTGGCTGCAGTTCTGCCGTTGTTCACATCCGTGGCGGTGTTTTTAGGATCCCTGCATGGCAAAGTCAGCACTTTAAAACAACTTGATGGGAACTGCAATCAACACAGAGCAGCCACCCGACTTTCACCACAGTTACATAAAGCCTGATGAAACTCTGGAGATAAAAAGTGCGTATCTGTCAATACCATGTTTTCATTTTACTAACACCACTTTGTTCTCTCCCTCATTTCAATAAGAAAGGACTTTGAGAAGATTCGTTTCATATATCTGAATGGCTGAAATATCTACAGCTCTGAAAAATATTCACTGGCAGTTGAATATGCCTTAATAAAACCCCACACTCAGCTTCTCAGAGCCAAATACAAACTAAGTATACCACGTCTAGTCTCAAATGGTAGCAATGTACAAAAAAAAAAAAAAAAAAAAAAGACCCTGTGCATTTTCCATGTGAATACTCAAAGTTCTGATGCAAAACAAGGACGGCTTTTTCATTTCTTTAATGACATGACCTTTTGCTACATTCCTTAATTGTGTAACCCCGTCTCTCTGCAGACTTTTGGCAGGGCTGTGGAGATCTGGTGGAGAACAGCTGTGGCTGATCCTTTATGTGTTTCCACTGTTTCGACCACAATGCCATAGGTGGTCAGGTTGCTAGCTCTCGTGTGACCACGTTCTAAGCAGTTGTCACCAGGTGAGAAAAATTAAGAAAAATCTAGATGACTAAAAATAAACAACCGGGTTTCTGCTACCTCTGAGGCCTGAACTGAACAAAGCTGATGGGAACTGCTGGTCAGGGAGTCTCTCTCTCTGCAAAGTTCCTCCAGAGTGACTCACTTCTCTCCTTTAGAGCTTTTAGATATGACACTTCTCTAGCAATTCGCTGAGGAAGGGATGGAGACAATGTTGAAGAGAGAGAAGAAATATTTAAGATGAAGAAAATCTGCAGCAGTGACCATGAATACATGTAGCAAGAAAAACAGGAAAAGAAAACTAACCATCAGGGCATCAAGAACATGAACCTATCAGCAAAAGTAGTGGAAAAATCACCCTGCAACTTTTAAAATGAGGGCAGAGTCAAGAGGGGGCGATTTGATGCGGTTGCTTCTGAGACTGCTGTTGCTAGACTAGATTTAAGTGACCCCAAAAGGTCCATTTTTGGTCTGAATTACCATGCTCTCTTACTAAAGCTGAACCACTCAATTGTCCCTCAGAGTTCGTCTGTGTTAACCAAAACCAGTAGGATTCTTCTTGTACATGACGCTTGCAAAGACTGAGAGCTTATCTTATGGCCAGTTACATTCTCAAAATAGTTAACATATTACATAGATGAATTTATGTGTGAATGTGTGTTCTGTAGCTAAATGTTGCATGCTGTCCATTTAAACAGGCTACGAAGATCATGCTATCCATTTAAACCAGTTTAGGATCAAGTAGTCTTACTCCCTGAGTCCTAGGAAACAAAGGACATTACATAAAATGCTGCCCTGCTTTTCAAAAGAGAGCAAAGAACCAATGTTAGAAATATATTCACTTGTCTCTGTGCAAATCCTGGAGTTTATGAATCTCTCTGATTGCCTTATAAATACATTAAGATTATGCTCTAGTATTCAAAACAAGAATATCTCTGTCCCTTTTCCCATTAGAAATAAATTTTTCAGCATCAGCCAAATATATGCCTTATTCATGACAAATAGAAAAAGTTTTTAAATATAGCTTGACATCTTAATTATTTCTTTTAACTTAAGCCATAAAGCAATCTATGGATGCTGCGAAAATTCTAATAAGAATCATATTTTGTTTTTATACGAGTTACTGAACAGCATAGGAAATATTCCTGAAGCTTTAAATATTTCTAAAAAAACTGCAGCTTTTCACAGTGAAATGTAACTCACCATATATTTTCATTTGTGGTTTCTGGACAGCAGAAGGTATTGAATTTGGCATCAAATCTTTACATCTCAATTTTGGAATGTTGTGGGCATATACTGGGCAGAACGGATAGGAATAATCATGCTATTCCCCTTGGCATAGTCCTAGATTCCGAAAGCATCAGGGGAAATTTATCTAAGAAAATATGAAGCAGGCTCACAATGCCTCGAACATACAGGCTGCAGTCATAAAGAATGACTGTGCCTTCTGCAGACACTTAAATTGCCTTTAATTTAGATAAGTAAGGGATCAATAGCAGTAAAGGCGAAATCAGTGTGCATTTCAGAACAGGCTAGTAACTTTGGTGGAGAGCCCAGCATCTCAATCTGGCCCAAACAATCTGTGAGAAATGCCATGATACTGCAACTTCCCTGCTTTTTTTCATCTGAACTAGTTATACTAAAAGCTTCTGAGTATGGTACAGCTATACAGAAATATAGATATGCAATATATAGAAAAGGAGAACATGAACATCACTATTTAGGACATGCTGGAACTCAGCAAGCAACATGGTGCATCCTAGCACATAGTGATTGTTGTCAAACACTGGTGTTCCAGACAGACGTGATACATGGAGTGTCTAGAGCAATCACTACTAAATACCAAAGTAAATAATACTGTGCAATACTGTATTATATCTAGTTACATGTAAGCAGAGATGGAGGCCTGCCGTTGCTTCAGGAGCGACCCATGACTCGTGTGTAGCCAACTGCTTACGCTGCTTGTGAATCGGCAGTCTGGGTGCCCGTCCTGTCCCATGCGAGAGATCTGCTTCACATCCACCCGCCTGGAGGAGCTTGCTGGCCAGCCCAGCACCTCCACGCGCTCTGAGGTAACTGCCTCTGCCGTGGCAATGCCTCTGCCCAGCTCAACTGGCCTGGTTCTTTCCCTTGAAGGAAGCAAGGCTACTTGCAAATCATGAGACAGGGCTGCCAGGGGACAACAGAGTGATGCGACAGAGCCTACAAGGGTCATGAGCCTGGCGCGCTGGAAATAATCCACCTGCAGAAATCTGAATTTCCCCCCATTTATCAAGGCTCAGCGCTACATACTAGTTCTTATCGTGTCTAAGAAGGTATTGAAAAGGAAAACTGTCATTATCACACCAGTGAAAGTTTTCTAGACTAGAAGCAGCTTTCAGGTGGTTCAAAATGCCTACCACGGTAAGCTGAACTGATACCACATTATCAGGCACTTTGTTCTCTCTCTCTGGCTGCCAGCCTAATGGCTCAGCTATTACAATATCACTGTTCTTACACTATAGTCTGAAATGTACTCAAGCCTAATTTAAAAATCCACCTTTCGCTCTGGTGCTGAAGCCATGTTAGCAGTGACAATGGGGCTCTCTGAATCCAAACCTCCACTTACAGAATTTAAAGGCAGGATTTTCTTTGCCCAGGATACACTCCCCCTCAAATGCTCACATGTGACTTCTCTCTCATGAAAGAAAATGGGCCCAATGAGCCAGGGCTGTGTTCTTTTAATGCTATAACTTTTTGCTGTGTGGGAAGTAGCAGATGCCTTTTGCATCTCCCTAGGGACAGTGTGTTTCCAGATGTATGTAAGAGCAAGCAGATACTGCTTAGCATCTCCAAGCCTTGTCTACAGAGGCTCTGTACATACATGCAGCTAATGAGAGAGAAGGGTTGGCCCTCCAGAGCTTACAGTCAGAACAGATGAAAGCATGGGGAAAAAAAAAGTAATATTATCCTCTCTTTTATATATGTGAAAGAAAAAGAACAAGGAAAATAGGTCACTTGCCCAAGTCTGCAAGGAAATCCTATAAATATGGATTTAAATGTAATACTTCCCCAAGTCTCAGTCCAGTATCAGAAAAGCATTATTTCTCCCAAACCAGTATATTAAGGAAATAACATCAATAATGAAGCAAATAACATCAATAATGAAGAAAACCAGAAGGATCATAAATAAAATACCACATAAAATATGTGTGACAAATTCTGATTTTTGAAAACTTTCTCCTGTGTCCAATTTAACCAATTGGCTATTTCACTGAAGCTGGAAAATATATGCTTGTTGTAACAAAAGGTGGTTGCCCAGCAGTAACTTTCTGTTTTCATTTATAATTATCTACCAGAATACACCCAGATCAAGAATGATCCGCCTTTTGACCACAATGAAAACGGACTAAAATAACATGGAAACACAAGAGAGAGGAATTCCCTCTTGGAGAGAGAGAAAAAGGACAGAAAGTATCTATTTATGGAAAACTGATGAAAAAAAAATCGAACTTTTATCTGACAGCTTCTCCAAGATTTTGTTCTTGTTGTCACATATTTTATTCTTTTTGCTTCCAGTAGTAGAAAAAATTGACTATATTTCAGTGCAAAAAAGTTTAGCTTTGCTTTAAGACGCTCGCTTTCCCCACAGTATCAGTCTTTTAAAAATAAATTCACTCTGGTAGCAAAGACATAAATCCCTCGGGCTGTCCCCAGAGCCTTTAGGATTATTATAGATTATGGCAAGGAAGATTTAAATATCTCATTTACCTGAACAGCGTCATAATACATTTTCCTGCCTTCTTCATCTGTCTTGCCCGACATCAGCCATGCCTTGAGCAAATATTCATAGAAGCTATCACCAAGCCCTCCAATGGAGACGTGATCTAAAAAGGCAGGGAACAGATTGAACAGCAATTTTATCCTCAGTTTGGGGAGAGGTAGATGAACGCATTTAACATCTCATCCTACAGTGATCTTACAATAAATGTCACCTTGGAACGTCAGGAAAAAAAACTTAATTGATGAAAAAAATGTTCTAATTGATAACTTTTTCAGTAGGATAAAGCATCATATTTAACGTCCATATAGTGTCACATGAGTTCATAGAGAAGAATTCATCATTTCAGCATCTAGTTCATGCTTATAGTTTAGTCCATATAAAAATATGTTAACCTAAGTTCTCTTATATACATATATATATATGTAAAAATGGAAACAAAGCAGAAAGTGCACTCAAATTTGACAATTTCTTTCCCTCTTAATTGTCAGGCATTGCTTTTACTTTTTGTTTTATTCACTAAAATACCATTTAAGTCACTTCAAAAAAAAAAAAAAAGCCAATGGGTTTTAACTAATTACTGCAAAGTTGAATTTCAGGTTTTTAATGGCATTTGAAAAATTCCATTGCATATGTTTAAAAATAATATTACATTTTTGGACATCTGGCTTGTCTTAGAACTCAGTAGTGGCTTTACAGAAAAAAGGATACATCAGCTCTGCCTCATTTGCAGGAGATTATTGCTCTCGCATTCCTGTATATGGCCCCACGATTACTGTATGGAAGGATCTGGTACTACAAACGCTGTGACTGTTCAGCTGCGCCTGTTCAGGACTTGACACTGAGCAATGGCTACACACAAGACAGGCCCTTGGAGGTCAGCACACCACTCACGTGGAGGTTACTGATGTTCTTAGCTGTTGGCACAAAGTTGCACGAACTTGGGGCAGAAGATTTTTTTTTCTACTAAATCTTGGCTACATTTTCCCCCCTCTGCTAATCTGTAACATGCAAACTATGATTTAGTTTTCCAAAGGCATCCTTTGCCTTCGCAAAACCACCACATTGCATCATCAAACCTGAATTATAAAACAGCTGCTTTCCCTCCTCTTATGAATGAGATTTATCAAATTTCTGGAAAGAATAACCATTTATTTAATTAAATGTTCAGATTCAAAAGGAAAAATGAAGAGGTTTGTTAAAAATTAGAGCATTTTCTGTGATGGAAGGCTGATCTTTGAACAGCAGCATTTAAATGACCTTTACGGTTTCCTAAATAAATTACCATAGAAACCTCTGACATTTGCAAACTAAATAGCACATGAACAGTTTCATCAATAATAAGCCCTGTTATTATATACATTATTGCAGTAGACAAATCCAATTGATGCATGCTGCAGCAAATCACTGTCGGTTTACTGTCAAAATAACAAGGGCTAAATGAATTTACAGGAACAGTGGCAGTGATCCAGCAGTGTCCTTCACAGTTAGAGCATTGCTTGATAAGTAATGTTCAGAAGCTGCTCTCCCCTCCCCACTTGATGCTTGAGGGATAACACTTCTGTCTTGTACCAATTAAGGGGCTGTTTTTTTCTCTCTGTTGTAATCAGCTGAGAAAAAGACTAGAAAAGCAATCTCAAATAAAACATCCTTCAACACTTACGCTCCTGATCTTCTACTATGAAAAAAAAATCAATACCTTCAAACAGAGGTAATTGAACTCCAAGTGGTGCAACAAGCAAAGATCAAATTTGCTTTTGCTGCTTCAGCAGGTTACTGACTGACCAGTCTCAACGTTTATGCTTATCATTTGCACACACAGGGAGCTTTTTGTATAGCAAATTTCTATGCCAAATTTCTATGGCAATACAACCTGCTTTTGGAAACCAGTGATGGTATAAAGTTGTCCTGTGCGTGCGAGCAAAAAAAAAATGGTGCCTAAGATACAATAATATTAAAAATAAGAAAATGCAAAAGGCCATAAGACTGAGCTGGCATTTGCTCTAAAACAAATAAGGCAGAGACACTAACGGTGTCAACTACTAGAAAAACTATCTCTCTTTCAGCTCACCAAATAAAGTTACTGCAAGACCCTATAACTAGGTTTAATGCCAAAGTAAATATTGCCCCAGAGTTCAGCTGCACACCTTTCTTGACTCTCAGTACTGCTGCACAAAATAAGGTAACTGGGTCCAAATTTCTGCTCGGGGAAGTTGTTGGCTAACCTATCTCCCAAAAGTTCTTTTTTTTTTTTTTTTTTTGTGGCTGATTAAAGCCAAGGAAGAAGGTTAATGAAACTGGTTGAACCTCCATGTGGCCCTTTTGAGCAAATCCAGTACCTTTTGCTTCCAATGTGTTTTATAAAGCCATGCTAAGCCAACACAGGTAAGCAGTGGGCAAACATCTAATAGCTCGCAGATACAGGCCAACTGGAATCAAGTGGTGATACTGTGTAGGGGCACAGTGACTTCAAAGAAACCTCCAAGTATAGCAGATGACTTTTTTTGTAATTGAAGGGGATACTTTTGATTCGCAAAGGAAATGCTCATAGACTAATACATAGCATTCAAAAACATATTTTATATTGAAGAACTTCCCAAACCATTCCTGCCTCCGGTGTTATCTAGCCACCCACTGCTATAAGGTTGTAATGTATAAGATGAAAAGCATCAGTGATCAGGAAGGAGCTAAGGAGTTCAAGTGCTCAAAGCATTTTATTATTATTATAATTTTGGTAGGTCTAATAATTGTTTTAACGGAATTAATGTCTTCACTGTTCTGTTCAGTTTGCTTCCTTAAGTGTTTGCCAACAGCATTAAACTGCAGCAGAATTCACAGCTGGTATTAAGTGGAAAGACTTCTTTAATGTCTCTTGGGCTATGCTACTGTAAAAATATGGAAACTGATCCAGATAAGTTGGTAATGTTTCTTTAAAGAGCTGGTTTAGAGAGCGTTTTAGACTCTTTAATAAAAGATTTTCTGGAAAAGACTTTGTGGACTACAAAGCATGCCTATTGAGACATTTCCCCGCTTATATAAGCCATACTGAAAGATCAAAAGCACACTAAAATACGGCAAGTCGAATTCTTATTTTTAAACATGCAATCTTTTTATACTATACAGGCATATGACAATGTGAGGAAACAACAAAATACGTAACAGAGACAGGAAGAAGTTAACGTCTCAAAAGGGCATACTGTTGTATGCTTCATAGGCCTGAAGAACCGATCTACTTACGCTGGCCCCACTGGCCACTGCTGGGATTCAGATAGTTGGGGTAGAGGCCTTCGGGTTTATCCAGTCGATTCAGAACTTTTCGAATGTTCATTACCTATTGGAAGGGTACAAAACACTAAGCATTGATCCAGTTCTCTAAAAACTAAAAGAGCATCAGTACAGAAGTCTTAGCATAAAAAGAGTGCAGCTCCATGCATGCACTGTGTTGTCAGAATACTTCTATCCACCATATGGTTTTAATACAGATCCTCTCAGCTGGTGTCACCAGGTAAACAAGTTCTGCAAAGCCTCCGGAGTTCTGGGGTCAAGGCTTGGTAAGCAGACAAGGCACTAGAAGAAAGATCCAGAATATCTTGCCAAATTTTAGTGTTTGCAGAAAAAGCAAATGCAGCACCTGGGAGAACTAAGTCTTTTAAAGGGCCGTTGAGCAGAAGCACTGTCTGACCTCACCCAGAGCAGTGATGTCATCTTGCATTTTAAAGACAAAACCTACTGCAGCGAAGCAGAGGTTCTTTGCTTTCTATACGTATCACACGTTATCTCCAATATAATGTTCTTTTTTATTTTCAGCACACTTGGGAAAAGGGCTAAGAAAGCTCTACGGTCTGACTGTTTAATGCAATATTAACTTACGATATAGCCAAAAGGGGTACGTGCTATGGGGCCTGGTAAGCGCTATAGACAAGATGCACCACAGTGTCTTTGGAGCAGGTCTTTGTAACTAATACTAAAATACAAGATTGATGAGAGTCCGTGCCTGGAAAATATCCCCCTCCTGCAACAAATATTTACCACTGAGGAAACCCCTAATCTCTCCCCAGGGATATTTAATCTCCCAACATGTGCTTTATCTCCGGAACATGATTTTCCCTGCACAGTCTAACCTTTTCAGCAAACACTGGGTTTCCAGACAGGTGGCTCAGGTGTATGAACTCCAGGTGCAACGTGCCAAACTCTGCCAAAATGCTGCTGCCGCCAGAGGCCCATGGCCAGTTTCGACCGATCCCACTAAAGTCGAAGTGGAGGGAAAAGAGAAACAGAAAATAAGTGTGCGTGTCTATAAGGCAGTACTAATAAAATAAAGCACGCGATGGCTATACTTTAGTAACAGGAGATAATGGATTTAAAAAGTTTCCGATGTCTCGCTAAGGAGCCTTGCTTCAGCAGTCTTCCATGACCTTAAAAAGCTGGATGCTATTTGCAGTACATCTGGCTTAATATTAGAGCTCTTAAGGGGAGTAGGATACTTAGGTATTGTCTGAGAGGGTATTTTTACCAGGATGAGTAATTTCAATTTTAATTAAGACCCAAAGATACTTCACAGCAAAATTAATCCCCGATTTTGTGCTTAGAGTAGAGAAAAATAATTTATTGCTAAATCCCCACTAGAAACTAATACTGGTTGAAGTTCAGGAATAAAAAGACTTTCTTAACGTTTCATTAAATAAAAGCTTTTCCCCTCCTTGAAATTTCCATCAGCAATATTCAGAAAAAAATAAAGAAAAGCTAACCAACTTTCCTGAGCTTCTGGATGAACAACGACATAACAGAGCTGCACATTACTACTGTGAGTGTTAGAAACAAGTAGACTTATTAAATACTGGCATGTCTTCCTTTTTTTCCAGTTCTAAATACCATTCAAAACATACACCCACATAGGCATATATATAAAATTGCATAAGAATTTCTTAATTTTATTTTTGTACATAAGCAGTCACTAGAGTCATCAGCACTTATACAAGCAGGAAAATAAGTATTCTTCCTGCATCAAAATGTGATTCATATTTTGAAAAGAAAAACAAAAGAAGAAATCCAGCTTCAGTTCACGATGATGGAGGTTGTCTGTTCTATTAGAATTTCTTCTTCCAAAGTCAAATATCTATATTTCAATCAACATTAAGAAATGAAATCTCTCATAAAGTTATTTCCCCACTAGCCATATTAACACATGAGTTTGAAATTCTTATACACAAAATATAAAAGCAAGCCATTCAACTTTAAAAGAAAAGACTATGAATAAACACGTTTGTGTTTATATGGCCTGGCTTTAAGCCCTGCATTGCCTTCCGTCTGCCCAGCCTTGAGCTGAAGGCGCCTTTGGAATCCACTAAGGTATCAAAATAAACTGAGAGTATTAGCTACTGACAGAGGCACTTATGTCCTCAAGTACCTTAGCATCTGTCAAGCACTCCCCATAGGTATACTACGGATTGCTTTTTTTTCTAGGCCATAAAAAGCATCAAAATGACTAAATTTGAGTGCTGAGTAGAGGGAGAACTTGGTAGAGCAAAAGGAAAGAGATCTGATGAGGCTCCACCGACTAACAGTTAAGGTGCAAGAGACTGAGACATGAGAAGTCCCCAGATACAAATGATTGACCAAAACTCCAAAGGAGAATAACCTTTCTAATCTTAACTGAAGAGAAAATCAATAATGAATTGAAGGTACTGTGAAGATGCCGACAATCCAGCTTCAATAGAATATTTGTATGACAGAAACAGAAGACAAGCTTTATGGGATCTAAATATCTCATTGATTTAAAAGCAACCTCACTGTGCTTTTGACATTTGATGCAAAAGGAAAGTGAAGAAAAAATGATCTGTCTTACAAGCTGTCTTCACCTTAATCTACCTTGGGTCAGAGTTTAGCCAACTGGTGCCAGAAAGCCTTGGACATCATGGAAAGTAAGATCAAGGTAAGTACCACAAGTACCACACACAAAGTATCTGGAAGCCTCCTTTACATTTTGATGTAATACATTTTGGCAACCAGAAAATTTTCCAAAGAGTTGTTGAGAGTTTTTCTGCATGCAGCAACATATTCATCACAAGTTGCACTACAAGTAGCATGTTCTTATGTAGGATGGCGTGAGAAGGTAAACTTGCATTCTTTACTCTTAGCACCACAAAAGTAGAAAGAAACGTTCCTATTGCATCTATGTACTTTTCAGGGTGATTTTTATTGCTTTTAATTGGGACAGGTGATCAGAAAGAAAAAGCATTGACGTATTTCTGGCGACTCTACAAAATAATGAAGAGAAGGTTAGGAGAAACCGACTGTTTTTGACTCATAGTTGTCCTAAGTCAAAATTCGCAAGCTTGTTTCAGCAAATGGTTCAGTTCTTTGAAATTGAAATTTCAGTGTCCTTAGCTGTTTTTCCTGCAACCTCAGCTGTGGGGCTTTGCTGTGCCAACGTGTATTTCATCTTGGGAGCAAAAAAGTAGTCAAGCTTCCACATTCCCTCCCAATGTCTGGAGGGATGGAAAGAGCAGCCATGGTGCTGCTTTTCGTTCACTTTAGCTCTATCTTTATTTTAAGGTGATATTTCAGAACACAGGACAGTCCAAGTAAGCAGCTTCCAAAGAGACCTTAAAGAGAATGTGGAAGATATTCAGCAAAGCTCTCAAACAGAAGAGTATAAGAGAGATTGCAACTTCACAATCCTTTTCAATTGGGGAAGGTAGGTTGTTAACAGACTCTTGGCTTAAAGAAAGGAAACATAAGACAGCTGCTTGCATTTTAAATGAATTTTCCTAAGCACTGCTGTTTTTCTGTTACAGAAATTCATATTAAAGCATGACCATCACCATTTCATCATAAAACTTTCTATTTATTTTATAAACTTTGTTCCTGAGCACTGGGTTCCACAGACTCTAAAATACAGCATTTCTAAGTCTTTTGGGTCTCTCTCTCAAAAAGATCTCACAATATGAGACCGACTGACCTGGGTTGCTGGTAGCTCAGCTAGTCTTTTCTCAGGAACAAACCAGTGTTGTTCCTTTTGAATGTAAGAATAGAAAGAAGGACTACAGAAATGCTTCTGAAAAGGCCAAAGGTATGTGAGGAATAACAAAATACTTGATTTAAAAGAAAATAGAAAACGAGCAGCATAACAATCCTTATAAGATTTTCCAAAACTATTTTACATCTGTATATAACAGCAGCTAATTTTTGCATGATAGGAACAGAAACTCCGGGGGGGAAACTGAACAGACACTTTCAAGGGTCAAAAATACCTAAGTGTCACAACGCTTGTGCCTGTCTCCACAGCCACGGTGTTGACTACTCCCAGCCTTTTCCGGGGGGTGTCAGGGTGACTCCACCACTGTGAGACCAAGGCCCTGGAGGAGCAGCAGGTGCTCTCCTTGCATGGGGCTGCTTGCACAGACTTCAGAAAGTCATGCTTAACGTGGAAGGCAGAAGCAGCTCTACCAGGTGATGCACTTCTGCAGGCACAGTTGGAGTGCAAGGTGAATTACAAAATGAGAGACACCTACTAGGCAAAAGTGGAAGTGTCTGTGAGCTGCCATTGCCAAAAAGTTTTAGCATTAAATGTAAAAATAACTCCAAACAACCGTTCAGGCTTTTCTAATGCCTGTCTATTTTGCAAAAAAAAACCTACTCAAACTGTAATGGTGACTGAAATGCAAAATGCTAAGACAGAAAATCCAAAGCAAGACCCTACGAAGTGCCTGCTTAATTACAGCAGAGTCAAGAGACTCAGGGTAGAGCAAGTGGGTCATGCCTCATGCTACCAGGAGCGCCAGCGAGGAAGGCGATGCTCGGGCAGGAGAACACGACTCACAGTGACTGCTGGCTCAACTTAATCCTATTTCAGTAAGAAGCCACAGACAGGAGGTGACACAGGTCACCTGCACCGCTGTCAGGCCACCCACTGTGACTGGGCAATGTCCTCACTTTCCTTCGGGTGTATTTCATGACGCAGGTGTGGAGATGGGGAACAGAGAGGATACTCAGACACGAAGCTCTCCAGGGCTCCCTCAACAACCAGTGCAGGGAGAGAGCAGAGATAAATAACATTTTAGAGGAGATGAAGCTGGAGATGGAGATGGAGAAGCCCAGGGAGACCAGATGCACCACATGCAGTCCTGTGCAATGCCCGAGTCTTCCCAAAATCTCCTTAGACTAATTTTATGACTCTTTAAAAAGTAGAAATGGAGAACACTTCATAAAACAGTATTTTTAATACTTGCCTTACAAAATTAGATTTTTCCTATTCGATAATTTATTATTAATGGTTCCTTTTTGGGCAGGCCACACTTACAATGTTATTTATTTAAAATATGGCAAAATAATTATTAAAAAGATTAAATTAAAAAAAGAAAAGATAATCTTTCTGAAGTACTATAACATAAAAAACACCTCAACATCCATGAAACTGGTACACCTAGCTAGTGACAGCCATGCAGGTGGTGCCATAGGTTGGCCCATTACTATTCTGAACTACTAAAATAAACAAGATAACACAATATGTTATGAACATGTCAGACATTTCTATCACAGATGTTATACATGCCAGCTTTATTATTTCCTCTGCAATGGTTCAGCCCGGGGAGCAAAATCTCCAAAGGCACATTCCATTTTGTTTAAATCAGTTATGATTTCTAAGGCATGGCTCTCTTCTTCCTTTTTTTAAAAATGTCTTCCTTTTATAAATGTCAATATATCTACTTAATGACCAGTCACTGAATTTCTCGTGAATTGCTTGTAGAGTGTAAAAGCCATCATGCTATTTCTTATCTGTCACAACCATTCCTTTATAATAATATTTTAATTAAATTAAGTCAACTAAGTCTCCTTAAAATAAATGAAAGGAGGTCAGTACAAAGTCAGGTTTTCACTTATATTCTCCAAGTCTAGATCTAATTTTAAACAAAATTTCTTTAAAAGATTAAGTTGGTACAGAGACATAGCATAAAATAGGTCAAAATGATAAATGAAATGTAATTGCTTTCACCATTTATGAAGAAAACGAATGGATTTAATAACAAACAATTAGCATCTTTTAAACATATATTTTGTGACGCATATGCCAACATAATAATAAGCTAACAGTGGGAAAAATATTTAATTGGTACTATAGTTACACACTGTGATTCCCTGAGGAATATGTCGGAGGAGTCACTATGGCAGCCAAAAAGATGATTTTCATAGAATATCTAATGTTTCGTTCATTATTTAGGATTGCCACCTCTGAAAATGCTTTT